GCTTGGAAGAGAAAACACATTAAGGAGCGTCCCCCATCAGGACCGAAACACGGAATGGTCTGCTGGATCGCCCGCCTCTGGATCACCAGAGGAACGTAAGGCCCCCCAAAACAGAACCATGGGTGAGAACTGGTGGGCTGGGTGTAAGAGCTCAGAATCTGGTTGTGCAGGAGGGCATAGCCCAGGGCGACGGTGCCGTGAGGGCAGCCCACAAGCCAGGCATAGCACAAGAACTTGCGAAGCAGGGAGAGCAGACCCCAAAGGAAATCGCGCTAAGCGAACCCCGCAGTGCAATCCACCTGCATCGGTGCCAGCAGGTCTGCCCTTCAGCGTATGTTCTTCCTAACGGCCTAAGTCTCTTTTTGGCTGCCTTGAATGCAAGACGATATTCCATTTCCTTTCTAGATATCACTGTGCTCACCCCTCCTGTCGAACGCTATTCAGAACACACTGTTTCTCCCATCCCTAATCAGTTATGCTCAGGTAGGAACCCTAAGCATGCCTCCCGGTGGCGCTGTGGTATTCCCTCTGAGGACACGGAGCACACGGCCACCGCAGGCCTTCACCCAGGAGGGTCACGGCGCCCCCACTCTGGAGAAACGCCTCCTGAGGGCCCTACGTGTCAACACCACCCACCACCGACAGAAGGTGCTCTTCAGGGACCCCGCTACCGTGGCTTTCCTGTGACCTGTGGATTCTCCAGTCACAGATCCTACGAGTCACAGACACAGTGCAATGCTTCTAAACTCTATGCCATCCGTTCACGACAAAATGGAGACAGTATGGGATGAATGGTACTAAGGGGAACCCACTAGTGCTGGGTACAAACACAGTATCTGTACATGTGCGTTTAATGCTTAACGGCCTGCTGGTCAAGTGACATAACTTTGGAACGTGCCTTTTGCACAGAGGCACCAAAATTCTCCTCCCTGCCACAGGCCCTGCTTGTGCTTCTCTGACTGGGTCAACGATTCTCCGTCTATGTCCCCAGACATCTGTCATGAACGTCTGCAGATGGCACTGGTGGGCACCAGTAACAAACGCCACCCCAGTTCCCCTCACTCTCCGTTTTTCTAGATGAAAATGTTTGAGGTAAAATGCTCTCCGCCCCTCTTACACCTCATTCTCTGGCTCACGTGCCTGTTTGGGGTCAGCCTTTCACATCAGCTCAATTCGCTCCCTCTTGAATGACAAGGTCCACTTCTGCGTGTCTACCGTCACGTCACTCCCGACCAAGGGGACCCCCACCCCGCCCCAGGCGATGTGTGCAGAGGCGGCTCCGCCCACCCACCCCCTCCTCACCCGGGGCAGCCCTTCCTGGGACTAGCGCCTCCCCAGCTCAGGTTGCACCACCGCCCTCCTATAAGGCTGCCCAGTTTTCACAGCATCCTGTCCTGGGATGCATTTCTAAGCGATCCCAACGCCTGCTCTCAATTGCTTATATTCCCAACACACTTACAATGTTGGTGACACGAATGCAAAGCGCATCCCACCTTCGCCTCTCCGTCATACCTGGGGTCCCAGCTGCCTCTCCCAGTTCCTAGGCCCAGGTGGGGGCTGAACATTTGTGCCCCCTCCCAACTTCTACGTTGAAACCTACCCCCCAAAGTGATGGACTAGGAGGTGAGGCTTTTGGAGGGTGATGAGGTGTGAGGGGGGAGCCTCAGGAATGAGACCAGTGCCTATAAAGCAGCCCACGAAAGCTCCCTGTCCCTTCCGCCATGCGAGGACACAGGGAGAAGCCAGCAGTCTGCAGGGGGAACGAGAGCTCCTGGTGGACCCCAACCACGCTGGCCCCTGACCTCAGACTTCCCACCTCCAGAACTGGGAGAAATAAATGTCTTTGTTCATAAGCCACCGTCTGTGGCACTTTGTTATGGCAGCCCGACAGACCAAGACACCCACTGGGTTCTCCCAAGCTCAGTCCACACTCTCCTTGGCTTCTTCAAACCCCACCTCTCTTCTACCCCTTCTTCAGTTCCTTTCCAAATGCTTAAAATAATCATCTACTAGCCAAATAGCAATAAACACCTTTCTTCCTGAACCCCCCATTCTAGACGGCTGCTCACTTACGCCTCGTCACTAGCTTCCCCATCCACGCAGGTGGGGCCTCCACACTTGGCAGTGTTTGTCTGAAGTCCCCCTTCAGTGGTAGCTCGCGACAGCCCACTAGGAGCTGGCGGATGGATGGATACAGGATGCAGAGAAACACAGAGGAAGGGTATTATTACTCTTCTGGTCAATACAGATGCTTCCATCGGGCAAGAACCCCCATACCATGGATATAAAGTGGATCATACCTCAGGTCAATAAATATATTGTAACCCCTTTACGCTGTCTAAGGTGGGACCTACTGGAGGTAAAATAAGATCCAACTCCTTATAAGGCTCCAGCTCAGGAAAAACTGAATTCATCTCATTTATATATGGGGCACCCCATAATAAGTACATAATGAGTGCCTATTACTTTAAGGCACTTTGTCTGTTGTTGAGAACATAGAAGCATGGAGCCCCTGCCCTCAGAGAATTTTCAATTTAACGGGAATACAGTTAAATAACAGGACGCAGTAAGTGCAGGTAAAGGTGCTGAGTTCCAGGTGCCCAGACACCAAGGGATCTGTGAATCCAATCGGAGCTAGTCAGGACGGAGTGTTCCCAGCACAGGAAAGGGGCACAGCGAAAGGCCAGCTGCACACCTCTGAAGGAGGGCACCCATTAGGTCAGGTGCTGTGGGGGATGCAGCCCAAGCCCAGTGAAGGGGTCACTCAGGACCATGGAGGCCCTCCCATCAGTGTCTTAAGCAGTGTGATTAACCTGGAGGTCAGGGTGGTTAACCCCTGGAGGCAGAAAAGGGGGTGTGACCCGGACACAGAAGGATGGGTGCATGGGGTGGAATGCATTCCTGCTGTGAACGGAGCTGTAAATGGGCAAATACTAGGGCCTGTTGCAGGTGAGGTTACAGCAGAGCTAGAGAGCAGAGGGCAGGCTAAAGGCACACAGGTAAGGGGCTGGCCAGCTTCAGAACCAGGTAACTCCTTTATCACAAGAATAGCCAGCAGGCACACATGCACCTGAGAAATCTGGTAAACAGGACCACACGTGCAGTGGAAAGAATACCGAACTAGCAGTCAGGAGACCCACTGCCAATTCGCTGGGAGGTTCTCCTCCTGCTGAGCAGGTGGGCAGAGCGGTAAGCAAGACTGAGGTGGGAAATGGATGTAGTGGTTCCCAGCCAGCATTCTTTCTCTTCTTTTTCTTTTTTTTTAATGAAATAAAATGGAAAAGTCTGCCATGTGCATCTCCCATAGAAAAATGTTTTGTGATGCATTTGCTTCAGATATAGATACAGGTGTGTGTGTGTGTGTGTGTGTGTGTGTGTATGTGTGTGTGTGTCTGTGTCTGTGTCTGTGTGCACGCACACATGTGCTTCTTACTGTGTGATCACAATCCAAAAAGTTTGAAAAGCTCAGGACAGGGGGATTTGTATGGTTTCTTCAAATGTGGATTCTCATTTGACCTTTAATTTCTAACCTGTTTTACAGATGTATAAATCAATCTAGATATGAGTTCTAGCATAAAATTAAATAAACCATAGTGAAAATTTAGATATACCAACAGATAACTCAAAATTGAATCGAACTGAATTATCTGTCTAAAACAATGCCCTTAATTAAAGATGACCAACGTTTCCAGGAAGAAACTACGCCTCACATATGCCGTAACAGGCACACACCTGTTTATTCAAGGCGAAGAGTCAGCCTTATATATGAAAGGCTTTCATCCTAATCAAGATACGCACACAGATGGACAAGGTTCAACAGAAATGTTAATACGAAACCTGATAGTCAAGGTAGGATTTTAATATTTCACTTTGAAAAAATTTAATGCTACCAACCTTTATTTTTAACTCTTTACCAATTGCAAATTCTGGCAATCTTTTGATTGTATGTGACATAGAGTTTTTAAATCCTTTACTGGAACAGGTGGCTTTTAACTACTTGTGGATTCTGACTCAACGTATCTGCATATGATACATTCTCATCTGCCTAAGCCATTTTCGGAAAACTACACTCCAAATGTGGTCCTTCAGGACTTCAGGAGAACATGAATAAGCAACATATATTAAATCCTAAGTACTTTGCTGCTGGACAAGCCATTTTCCCAGAAAAGCAAAGGGTAATTTATAAGCATAAGTCTGAATGGGAATGGAGACAAAATCATTACATTTTGGAGACATGCATAAGTCAAGCACATTTTAGATAAAACTCTTGGAGCGTCCATAACCGTAACAGCACCACCGGTACTTATTCTGGGGACTCTCTGTCTGAAGAAAGCACATGTCTTACAGGCATGGTCTCACGTTTGTCACCATCACTGCTACGGGGTAGGTTAGAGGTGGCACTGACGGGAAAATGAGAGCTGGGCACACACAGGCCACAGGGCTTCACTTAGCAGACTTTGTCTAAGCTGAGAGTGAACCCCCTCTTCTGGGTGCTTGTTTAACTAGGACTGAGCCGTTATCCATGCACCTCAAAGGCCCTCCTCGGTACTTCCCAGTCCTTCCGTGAATACTAATTCAAGGTCAAGACGTTCCCCAAGCCCGGGAAGATCGCCCCGGGCTGTCCCTGAGGCTCTGTGCAGCGGCGTCCGGCTTCTTGCCCCTCTGCCCCGCCGGAGGCACAGCTACCCCACCGACCCTCCGGCCCTTGCAAGGCCTTCCAGACCCGGCCCGCCGCGGGGCGCGTCCCACCGGGCAGGGCTGGGGAGGTCGCCCCGGCTGGCCCGCGGACGCACGCGGCGGGGACCCGGGCTCTCGAGGCTGCTGAGCCCAGCCCAAGGTCACCTCGGCCAAGGACCTCCCCCCAGCTGCCTCCTGCGCCCGGCATCGGGCCCCGCCGCCCCCGGGCGTCCGCCCAGCCCGCTCTCCAGGGGGCGGAGAGGACGGGCCCGGCTCGCCCGCAGCAGCAGCAGCCCCGGCCCGGCCCGGCGACCCCCGCTCACCGGGTGCGCAGCGCCTGCCAGGCGGCGTCGATGTCGGCGTACAGGTTCTTCTCGGAGGGCTTGCCCGAGCTCACGCCGTAGCCCGAGTAGTCGTAGGAGAAGATGTTGCAGTTGATGCGCGAGCCCAGGCCGATGTAGAAGCTGCACATCTGGCCCAGGTCCACGGCGTTGCCGTGCGAGAAGAGCAGCGTGTAGCGGCTGGCGGGCGCGCAGCGCACGAACATGCAGCCCAGCCGGTTGTCGCGGGCCGTGCGCGAGAAGAAGACCTCGACGGCGTCCAGCTCGCGCTGCGAGTACTGCCAGTCGGCGCGCTCGCTCAGGTGCAGGCTGCACGCGCCCGGGCCCGCGCCCTCGTCGGGCGCCGCCGGCTGGGCCGAGGCCGAGGCCGGGGCCGGAGCGGGCGCCGCCGACTGGGCCGGGGCCGGGGCCGGGGCCGGGGCGGGCGCGCCGGCGCCGCGCTGCTCGGGCGCCAGCACCGTGTACGTGGGCTCGGGCGGCAGGAAGGCCAGCTTGGCGGCGATGCGGCTCGGGCAGGGCGGGCAGCAGAAGAGCCAGCACAGCTCGCCCAGCGAGAAGCCGTTCATCCTGGGGCCGGGCTCGGGCATCGGGGCGGCTGCGGCCCGCCGGCCCGGCAGGCAGGCTGGGGAGCGGGGCGCGCGGTGGCGGCGGCGGCGGCGGCGGCGGCGGCGCGGGCTGCGGCCTGGCGGGGAGGAGGCGGGCCGGCGGGCTGGAGGCGGGGCGCCGGGCTCCCAGCCGGAGGCTCAGTCGGCCCCGGCCCCGGCGAGGCGCGGGCGGCCCGGCCCGCGCGCCACACAAAGCCGGCTCCGCCCCGCCCGCCGGCCCGGCCCGCGCGCCGCCACTTCCGGGAGAGCGCGGCCCCGGGGCGGGGCTGCGCGCCTGCCTGGGCCCGGGGCGGCCGGCCGGGGAGCGCGGCCGGGGAGCAGGGGGTCCCGAGGGCGCGCGGGCCGGGGCCGGCGCGGTGCGGGTGCGGGTGGGGGGGCTTTCCGCCGGCGCCCCTCCCCCGGGTTCCGGTCCCCACATCCAAGCCTGCCATGGTGGGAGGCTCTCGGGAATCTGCCCCAAGAAAATGAATGGGGGCAGAGCCGGGTCGGACGTGCAATGGCCGCTGGCCCCGGAGGTCAGCGCCGCGCGGGGCTGCCGCTGCCAGGCGCCCGGAGCGCAGGGTCGCCGCTGCCGTGGGACAGGCCGTGCGTCCCCGTTACCCGCGGCTGTTTCCGCGGATGTAGCAACAGTTTGCCTTCCCGGGCGCACGACTGGGCCTTCGGAACGTGCCTGTGTCTGCAGGACATGCGGGGCCACACCACGCTGAGCAGCCTCCTTCCAGACCAGCAGGCCCGGGTTTTCTGGGGAACCAGGTGTGCTTTACAGCGCTGAGTTCTCCGGAATTTTCCGTGCCAGGATTTTGAAGTTGTCATAATCATGAAAGATTTCTTACACTGGGGCAAGTCCACTGTAACCTTGACATTCACCTTTCAGTGTTTTTTTTTCAAACCTGACTCCCAAGTGGCTTGAAACAGAGCAGGCTCCCGTGCCAGTGCCCAGAGTCGTCCGGACGTCCTTCACCCTCCTGATTTGGCAGCCCAGGTCCCTTTCAGACATTGACAGGACCTACCCTTCCTGGACTGCCAGCTGGGCAGCCAGAGTCAGGGAGGCCGGCGGCATGGCTGCTGTTTTAACTCACAGACGACCTGGGAAGAATTTTAACTTTTGCTGGAGCTTATATTTGAGCACCCTCGTCTAAATGAATTCGCCCACCCTGATTTCAGGAACCTTCAGGACCTACTTTTAAAAGACCTAGTTAAAAAATCTTTTTCACTCATAGTTTTTAGATGTTTTTGAAATATCCAGGAACTTGGTTAAAGAAAACCTGGTTAGCAAAACCTGTTCAGACACTAAATACGTCTTAGTCTGTTTTTAAGTTGTGCCCACTTGGTGAAGTCTTACCTAAAAGCACATGTTTAGCTTCACAAGCCTGGGTTTCCTTCTTTAAAAAAGTGTGACCTTGCTACAAAGTCTGAGGTCGGGCATTACTGTATTTCTCATGTTCCACGTGTATTTATGCAATGTTTGCCATGACCTTGGGTGTTGGATCTTTTTGCAAGAGCTAGAAAGGTGAGAAAGACGGCCCCTGCTCTCAAGTACCTTACAGTCTAATCAGAGCGTCAGGAGAAGATTCAGAATCCTTTTTCGTGTGCCTTGGAAAAAAAAGATCAACTTTACCACACAGCATGGAATGAATAGTTCTGCCCTGTGAAATGTGAAGGTCAGGATTACTCGCTGTTCACGTGGACCTTAAAGAATGTCTGCGTGGCTCCTTACCTTCTAGTAGAGAAAGGTTTAACTCTGAGTTTGAGTCAGCAGACATACTGGGTGCCTACCATGAGTCAGTTACCGAGTTGATCCAGGGAATGTGGCTAAGACACAGCCGCTCCTGCCTCAACACGCTCAGGCATGATGTGTAACTCGCAATAACTGCACAGCTGGTAAGCTAAGCAGTATTCCAAGTAGCTAAATGCATTGGTCTCTGCCATTTGATGTTGGCCCTTTACATGCTGAATTTGCCTTCCATGGTCGTCTGCCTTATATTGAGTTGCTCAAGATCACCTCAATTTATAAGTGAAAAACTGTGTCAGCAATGCAGAGGAAATGATCCGTTTTTTTTAATTGACCGTGAGAGAAGGGCACTCATGCTTAAAAACTGAATCTGGTTAAGACGGAAGGTAAAAAAAGAAATCTAAGATACACTGCCCTGTTAAACTTTTCCTTTTTTTTTTTTAAGTTGAGAAGTGGGTGTTCTGTGAAGGCAAGGAGCAGGTCTATTTGGGAACCTCTATGTCTCCCATGCCTGACATAGAGAAGATGTCCAGTAAAGCATTGACTAAATCGATAAACTAAAGAATGAATGGGTAGTTTGGTGACTGTATCGAGACAGAGCCTGTTCCCTCTGGTTTGGGCAGGACTGTAGGAGTAAAGGCCTCCTTCAAGAGCAGAGGGGCTCAAAGCTGACAGCAGGGTCACTGCGTGAGCAGGCTGCACACATCCTCTGGCTAAGGAACTGACATTCTCCCCACTTTCCTACTAACAGAGCCCAGATTTGGTTCTGGGTGACGGTGCCCCCAGTCAGGATGCACAGTCCCCCACCTCCTCTGCTTAGAGGGCAGCCACGCGACGCAGTTCCGGCCAGTGGTCTCTACACAGAGAACTTGGGGGAAGCTTCTGAGAAGACTGAACAGTGGCAGCCTCATCTGCAAGGTCCCCTTCGTTCGCACGGGGGTCGCAGGCATTGTCATGTGAGCTAAGGCAGCCACCTTGCGACCATGGGAGCGAATCTCATGGCTGGAGATGGTGGAGAAAGATGAGTCTGGGCCCTTCACGGCGTGTGGGAGAGCTGCCCCGTCGCCTTTGTGGCTTGGTGTTATGTGAGAAAAGTAAGTCCCTTTATGTCCCTGTAGTTGGGCGTTTTGCTTCCTGTAGCCTAATGCGGGGATTAGGAATCTGATTCAGGAATCAAAAGCAGATGCGTGTTGTTCTTAACCGCTTTCTCAATAAGGACAGAGACTGTTCGGTTGCTCAACAGCGGACCAGTTATCCCTAAATCCTGCTCGTTAAGCAGTAAGCTATGATAAAGCTAAAGATGGGATAGATTTTTAATAGGAGATAGCTATTAAACCAACATATCTGGAATGTGAAGAAAATAAAATCTTACAAGTTTGAAGGTTGCAGAAATGGCACTTGGAGGCGCTGCCAGGGCACCTGTGCGGGTGGAAACTCGGGTAAGGGGCCTGCCAGGCAACTCAAAGCTTTTGGAGACGGAATCCCTTTTCCTAGAACCTTTCTCGGCCTGAGGGCTCTTATCAAAAGTGTTGTAAATGAGGCCGCCGAGCCCAGCTGGGGAGAGCACAGAGATGCAGGAAATGCCGAGCAAGCACCCTGAGAGATAAGGGTGGACAGAAAGTCAACAGCAGCCTCCCACACAGGCGCTTTTTCCCTGCTCCGTCCACTGGCGCGGTGACTGTGTCTTCAACCCTGCATTGCTTATCGGTCTCATCCTATCCCCTACTCACGGATTCTTAACAGGAGTCCCAGAGGCTCTGAAGTCGATCCCAGAGTTTGGGCTTGGAAAGCTCCTGAAAGATAGGGACAGCTTGTTTTTGAAAGGAACGCTCATCTTGTCTTTTGCTGTGCGATCAGCACCGGACATTATGTCCTAGCGCGTGATGGGAACTCCAAACGTGTGTCAGGTGATCGGAATTAGATTTATGGTCATTTCTAGTCGCTTTTTCTAAGTGTGCAAAGATTTGACAACTAGGTGAAATAAGTAATATTTTAACGTGGGAAGTGGAAAGGAACGGAGTTTTATAGGCTGTTGCAAATCTAATTTCAAGGTGATAAGGGAAAATATGGCCTCAATTTTTAAGTTCATTCAGAAATTCTGATAGTTACACATTAAAACATGAATGGTTAATCTGTAGCGTTATTTCAGGGAATTTACAATAACAAACATTAAATACCTACTCCAAAAAACAGCAATGCCAGCACCAGACCAGACAAAGAAGCGCAAATGGCCCAGCTGTTCATGACACATACGGTAAAGGTGACATTCAAGTCAGGGGCGGTATGTTGATTTATCCAGTACCTGGTGAAATACTTGAGAAAAGAAAAGGAGGTAAAGTTCCATTCTGATGGATCAAAGTATCAAAGTTTTTTTTTAAATGAAACCAAATAACAACTGGAAAATATAAATGAAAGTTCACATTATTTTGAGCATAATTCCAAAGGCAGAAATCACAAAAGAAAAGATGGGTGATTTTACAACATAAATTTTCTGTCTTCTACATAAACTGAAATCTTTGGAGCTGATGGGCTGTAACGGATTTGCTGCAAAAAAAAATAAATCTGGGCTGGGAGTGGAGTAGGGAGATAGACAGGAACAAGATTGGTTAGTTGGTAATTGTTGAATCGGGGTGATGAGTTGATGGCTCTATGGGGGGTAGATATATTATTCTCTACTTTTGTATATGTTTGAGAGTTTCCGTAACAAAAAAAAATCACATTTTTTAAATCTTCAGAATGTTGAAAAACTAGGCAAAAATATTTGCTATGAATTCATCATTTAAAAAAAAGACAAAACACCCCAATGGAGAAAATGGGCAAAATATGTATAAGCAAGCATTTTATGAAAATGGCCAATAAGTATACAAAAAAAGGATTAGACTCATTAGTTATAAAAGAGAAAATTTTTTAAATGTATCTTTAACCTTATGAGATCGATCCAAAAATTTTTTTTAAAAAAGGATTAGAGAGACCTAGGGCTTTGTTGAGCTGTAGAAAAGTAAGTACTTTGATGTGCAGCTTCCTGGCAGGTGTGTTAATTGGCATTAACTTTCTGGAAGGAAACCAGACAATATATATCAAAACTTAAAAGCATACCAAATTTCCAATCAAGATATTCAGGTTGGAATTTAGCCTAAGGAAGTAATTGGTTTTGCACATAGATTTTAAAAAACTAGTATGTTTACGACAAAAGAGTTTATAATACCAAAGCAAATAACCGGGAACATCCTCCAGGGATGGAGGGCTGCCCTTCCCCGGGCTCACTGTGCCCACCTTCTGGCCCATATGTCTGGGATCTGTAAGTAGTAATTCTGGTGATTTTACTTCCCTTGTGTGGGAACACTGAAACCGCCTCTTCAGTTAGAAGGACCCAGGGGTTTTTGCTTCACGGATGCTGAAGGAGCCACCTGCCTGCCCCTGAAGTTGGCCTGTGCCTCCTCATTCCGAAGGTTATAATCTGCTTGTTCTTAACCCAGTTCACCAGCTCTGGCTTCTCAGCACAGAGATGCATCTGTTCTTCCACCCCTTGGAATTTGGGGTTGCCTGTGGCTGCTCTGATTGGCAAAATGTGGTAGAAGTGGTTCTGTGAGCCTTCGAAGGCTGGGTCCTCGGAGGCTCACAGCTCCTGCCTGGCTCCATGGTCTGCCCGCTCTAGGGAAGGGAAGCCGCCCTGCTGGGAGGGGGCTTGAGCTATCCCGCTGGAGAGGCTACGCAGAGGGAGATGCCCACCCAGCCCCCCGGCCCCTCTGACCAGCCCAGCCCAGCTGTCAAACATGATACACCAGTGTAGAAGCCTTCAGGCCATGTCAGCCTCAGCCACCAGCTGAGCACCACCTCAGGGAGGACTCCAAGCTAAGCCCACAGCCCGTAGAACCGTGGGAGAGAACAGATTGCCATGGGCACCCAGCTTTGGAGCAGCTTGTTAGATAACTGGAGCAAGAACATTTTCATCAGGCACATAACATCCTCTTTATTAGAACTCATTGGAAAAAGTTTCCATTTAAACTGATACCAAGAGGAACTGAGCAATGAATTGTCCCTCCATCATTCACACACCTCCAACTGATGGATGCTGTGAATTTTACGGTCCAGAATTCGATCCTTTCACATTGGCTGACCAGCCAATTGGCTGACAGAAAGCAAAGGGCCAAATGCTACCCTTTTTGAAGCTACTGTATAGGTGATCATTTGCCATTATGGTTGGAAAAAAATTAGATTTTGTTGTCTCTTTGGCTTTTTTTCCTTTATTTTAAACCCCCACTTATATGCTAACTTAAACTTTATAAAGTTTTGTAAGCTTTCTTAAATCACTTTTGTAAAAAGGCTGAGTGTAATTAATATAAATAAATACCTTATTTTCCAGGAACCGCACAGGGCTTACAAAGGGGTCACAAAGTTGCAGAAGGCATGGTCCTGCCTGCAGGGAGAAAGACCTTTACAAAAATGACTTTTGCAATCACTACATCACTCTCCTGATACGAGAAATCCTAAAAGTACTCTGAGAATATGGGATGATTCTTTCCATTGTGGGGCCTGCTCAGAGCCAGGCTTTGAAGGGATGAGTCATTCTAAGCAAAGAGAACAGTGCAAAGAACACTGTTTCCCCTCCTAAGATAAACAAACCCCTGCACTGGTGCCATTGATCTGTCGCCTCCCAGGATTATTCTAGAAACTTCTCGCTCTATCAGCTTCAGTCTCTACTGGTCCCTGAATTCTTCCCTTTACCTGGCAGGATTCCCAAGTTTCCCCATTTTTTAAACAACCCTTACCTTCCGGGTGCCTTCCTACCTACTTGAGCTTCTATACGCCTTTCTCCCTTCACTGCCAAGCCTTTGAGAAGGGTGGTCTATACTCACTACCCCCACTTTATCCATATCAAATACCCCACAACCCCAGTGATTCCCAAACATGTCTGTGCATTAAAACTATCTGAGTATCTTTTAAAGCTTCCAAGGCCCAGGTCACACCCAGTCCAGTGAGTCACAATCTCTGGTGGAAGGACACAGGCGTCACTATTAGAAACTCCCCAGGGAATTCTGATTCCAGTTCGGGGTCACTGCCAAAGTCTCCAGGCTGCTTCCTTGAAGACCATAAATTACCGTCTTGTGATTAAGTCTGATACTATCTTCTTATTCTTTATCCTGTTGATTTTTTCAAAATCCGTTGAAGTAGTGGGCCACCAACTAAGGATGAACTCCTAGCGTTTGGAACCTTCATGGCGTGGTCCCTAACAAAATGGGAACTTTGTGCTGCCCAGGTAAATGGGTTTTCTGGGGCATCATAAAAAACGTGGGCTGGAGCCTGGAGCCTGGAAGCCATGCACATTCTCTGATCTGGGATGGGCACCAGGAGGGTGGACCCGGCTTCCAACAGCAGGAGGATGCCCTGCCGGACAGGCAGAACTTGCTTATTCACTGAGCAACCATTCTGTTCCTGTTCTTCGCCACACCGCAACCAAAGTGCTAACAGGGGTGGATGGCAGATGTTGAACATCCAGGAAGCAGTCATGCTCCACCCCTGGGAAAGCGGGCCATCAGGAACGGCTCCAAGGAGAAGGTGAGTTTGAGCAAGACAAAGTATCCGGAACATGTAGAGACAGGTGGGGTGAGAGGTAACCCACGAAGCCGGCCAGAACCGAGAGGGAGAGAGCTCACATTTGTGTTGCCCTACCTCTGTGCCAGGCAGTAAGCAGGGCATTGCCACGGGTCGTGTTCCCCAAGAAGCGAACTCTGTGATGGGGATGAGCATGTGTGCAGTTTATCAGGGGCTCTTGGGATCAGCACCTGTGGGAGGGAGAAAAGGGAAGCAGGACGGGGCACGGGAGGAGCTGGTCCGCGATGGCACAGTAAGGGAGGCCTCACCGCCTGCCCGGGTGTTCGGAAGGCCAGAGGGGTTGGTCCACTCCACTAGCACCACACCCACTGTACACCTCGGAGAAGAAGTGCGAGTCTGGTTCTGACTGCGAAGTTCATGTCCGTTCCAGGCCGTACATTCCCAATTCTTGACCTGGAGTGATTGTCACGTCCAAGGATGTGAAAACTGGCTCTTGCGGGTGCAAAACCATCTTAGACATCACAACCACATGTGGCTCTCCAAAGACCACAGACACATGACAAATACACCCCTGTGCTATTAAATACATCCAGTGCTATTAGAATCTCATGGGAGCGGTAAAGGGAAAAACATATCTGAAACATTTGGGGGAACAGTAGAGACACAAAGTCGGGAAGCATCATTCTAGGGAATACTTTGGAGGGGTGAAAAGGTGTAACATGAAATTAGATTGTACATGTCGAGCCTAAATTATGGAGGAATCAGGAAATGTGAGGGTCGCCCCGTTGACCTCCTCTTCCAGGCAGCAAGGAGCCCTCTGGGATTTTCTACCAAGAGAAATAACACGTTAGAAGCGCACTAAGCGCAGTAGTGTGGAGGACGGCTCAGAGACAGGGACAAGGAAGGCAGAGTGGGTGGGTGGTCGTCGCAACAAGCCACATGAGAGGTAAAGAGTCTGACCCGATCACTGATAGCAGCACCGGGGAGGAGAGCACGGGACTGCAGAGGTGGAGATGCGCAATCGGTGGCCCCAGAAGCTGACTCCGTGGGAAGGTCGAGTGCAACCATGAGCCCTGGTGACCAGGAAGATACGGTCGCGGAGTCAGAGCGAACCCGGAGGAGGAAGCCTGTTTGAAAGGGGTGAGGTGTGAGGTGACTGGGCCAGGAGAGGACACATACGACGGGCAGCTTGCTCCCGACAGACAGGAATTTTTGCTTTATTTTGGGAAGTCATGGAGGTAGAAGTGATGACTGAAGCCAGGAGGGTAGGTGACAGTGCAAAGGCAGAAAACAGCTAAGCCGCCCCCATTGGGAAATGGCCACATTTTGGATTGTGAAATCCGAGGAGCCGGTGAAGACGTCCGTGAAGAACGCAGGTGTGAGCAGGAGCTGGTACCTTTCGAATCCAGAAGAAGAGTCATAGAGGGAAAATGTCAGCACACGAAACATTACAGGGCGGGAGGTGGAGGCATTTGGTCCGGTTACTGGGGTAACCCTGTGGTCTTTCAAGAAGACTGTTCAGTCGAGCGGATCCAAGTTGAAAGGACATAGGATCAGGCAGTGGCCAGTCATGACTGAGAGTTTGGGCTGTGGACCCTGAACCGTCACCTACCGCTTGCTAGCTGCACGATCTCCACTTTGTCACTTTAAACCAGTTACTTCATCTATATAAATTTGGATAAATGGAGCCTATCTCTGAGAGACTGGAAACTAAATGAGATATATTATGGGGAACTTGCGCTATAGTAGGTGCTCAATAAAATTTTAGCTCCTCACCTTGATCAAGCATCTGGTAAGAAGAGGAAGAAATAGGTAGTGTTGATTTCTTAGGGCTGCCATACAGACTGCCACAGACTGGGCACCCTAAAACAACAGACAAGTATTCTCTCCCAGCTCCGCAGGCTAGAAGTCTCGCGTCAGAGGCACGCTTTGCCAGAAGGCTCCTGCGGAAGTGTCTCCCAGCTTCTGGTGGTCCCAGGCATTCCTCGGGACTCCAGGCCCTGCCTCTGTCTTCACACGACATCCCTGTGTCTGTGTGTCATTCTGTCTCTCCCAATATCCAACCCCTTTCTCTTGTAAAGACGCCAGTCATTGGATTTAGGGTCCGCCATGAACCCATGATGATTTATCTAGAGATTCCTAATGAACTAATTCTTCAGTGACTGCATTTCCAAATGAGGTCCCATTCCGAGGTTCTGGGCCGAGGTTTTGGGTCACCAAATTTTGGTGACCCCATTCAACTCACTGCCATGGTGTTGGGTTTAAAGAGATTCAATGGTGAATAGCAGAAGGAAGATATGGCTATATTTTGCTTTTAGGAGAGGGCATTTCTTTTATAAAATAGAGGAGACCTGGTGATTTCCACAGGCAGGGGAAGGAGAAAATGAGAGGAAACTGAAGTTTCAGGAAGGAATGCCTAATGCAGCAAGAAGAGAAGGGAGACGGCGGAGAACACCAAGTACCCAGAGAGGACCGGGTGTGGCCGAAGCCAGCATCCCACCTGCCAGGGCAGCTGCAGAGGAGAGGCGAAAGCTGGAGACAGGCAGAGCGGGAGGGGCCACGCAGGGAGGTTGGAGCTCTTTGCAGCGAGTTGGTAAACTGGATGTGTGGTCATCTGTGGGAGCAAGTGGGTGCGGGAGGACTGGACAGGCCAGCATGGACAGCTGAGGTCTGGAGCAGAGCACTGCCTTGGAGTAGGCAACAACGTGTGACCGTAGGATGAGCCGCAGCAAGCACCCAGCTGGGGTTCCGGAAAGCCGTTCGTTGAAAAAGACCTTCGCTGAGTAATGACATTCACGAAACAACTCCTGTGCTTGAAGAGACACTGAATTTTAGGAGGGCATCTCAGGACAGGTTGCTCTTCTTTAAATTACTCATCTAATTAGAGAAAGCAAAACATAAGCACCACGTTCACCATTAAATCAGAAGAAGAAAAAAGCAATTTAACATTCTTTGGTTTCATATTTGGTGCAAAAACATTTCTAACAAACCCAGCTTTGTAGACAGGTAATTTCCGGATCTACAAATACAGGGACAAGATTTATGATTTACAAAGAAAGGAATCTCGGATGGTTGTGAGGGGGCGGTTGTGTTCTCAGTGAATCAGATGTGGGACGACGGGGGCAGATCATTTTCAAATCGATTCTGCCACAGCTGTGGGGGACGGCTGGGCAAGGACATCACACATCTACACGCATAACTATGCACAGCAAGCAGACAGGATGTGAAGATCTGTTGTGATTGACATCGGTACTTCCGTGGGGTGATAGTTCCCATTCAGAGACAGAAAGGAAATGTCGTCAGACCTCGGCAGCCAGGGCCCGTGCTCGAACCGTGGCGGGACCCAGCAGGGGAGCAAAGGGGTCTTATATTCAGGGTCCCAGCTTCAGGCAGCCCTTCCTTCCCCAGCCGGAGCTCCACTGTCCAGTCAGGAGGGAGAACTGCCTTCTAGAGAGCAGAGACCACTTCAACCCGGGAAAAGGAGCAGAAAGTCACCTCAGCTGAAATGGTGGCAGAAGCATTGCGGCAGCTCCTGGCTTGATGTCCTGGTGGCTGCCAGGACCCCAGCCCCAGAGGTTCCACTGCTCTGGCTGGGCAAGTCCAGTCCTTCGGCCTTTGAACTGAAGACAGTGTGTTTCTGCCGTTAGTTAGCGCAGGGTCTCAGCATCCCGTTGACCTACCCAATCTCACCAGCCGGCCTTTGCTTTGGTGCAAATGTTGACCTCCACTGACCCACCGTGGTGACCTGGGACTGCGGCTCTCAGGTGCGGTCATCAGACAGTCGTCCACGCTTTGTGTCTCCATGTGGAAGAGCCAGAGAACATACGAGAACAGCCGGTATCCCACGTATGTTGACTTAGGATAAGGCAACCCACACAGAGTGTGATTAAAGAGCACCACGAAAATGTCAAATGCCATAAATATGGATAATAAAATGATAACTGAGAAGCAGTTTGCTTAATTGCAGCAAGTCCCCAGAGCGATCCTGTAATTACGCCATGATTGTGTCGGGCAGGCCCTGAAGCATGGCAAGGATCTCTTGTGCAAACAGGCAGATCAAATAATTTGCATCTCAGTAATTTCTGAGGTACGGCTCAAGCCCAGGAGGCTATGAGAGGCATTCTTAAGAGTTTTGACAAGTCAAGAGAACTTCTTGGCTTTGAGCACTGTTTGTCTTTATTGAAAGTGACCTCAGTCACCAATCGGCAATTCTGAGAGTGGCTCCTCTATGGTACCTCCAGCCCTCTGCAAATCCACCTGAGTGTGCAAGTCTGGGACACATTTTCCCAACCTGAATAGATGAAAAATAAATATGAACAATCAGGGATGAGGCATATGCACTTTTAAGGTCAATGCCTAAATCAGTAGGTAGGTCTCCATTTATAATGATTATATTATCTTTTGTTGAAATGTTCCTGGATATATAGATCTTGATATCTGCCCCCTAATAAGGCAATTCTGTCTGTAATGTGGCAGACTAAGACATCCAGAGCGCTGGCCCTTTGTGGATTTACTCATTCGATACAGGCTGTAGAGCCAGGACACTGGGGATGGTGTCAAAACACGCGTGCACAGTGCAGCGGCTCACGCTCTCTCACGGGCTCATGCAGGTGCATGTTTCATTTGGGGTCTTTCTCTGGACAATCTCAACTTCCAAAATCGTAACACCAGCCCACCTCTCTCCCCTTATCTTCAAACACTGCTCTTCTACGTGGCCCCTGGACATCTCCACTCGAACCACAGGCCCCTGCTACTCAACGTGCCCCTAAACTGAGCTTTGTTTCTTCCCCAGCCCCCATCCCACTGTGCCAGAACCTCTTCCCATGTTCCCAGCTCAGGGAAGGGCAGGGCCCAGAAGGCAGAGCTGGAAATTCTGGTATTGTCTTTGATTTCTTTTCCACCCTCTACTTCCAATGGATTTGGGTCCTGCCAGTTCTAATTCCTGGCTGCCCTTGAATGCATCCTCTCCTTAAACCCAAGCTCCGATGTTTTCTTGCCTAGATGGTTGTCTTAGTTTCTAGTGCTTGCCTCAATTCTTGTCCCCCTAGAATTTGGTCCTGTCACGTCCCTGCTTCAAATCCTTCCATTATATCCCCTGACATTAGGGCGAGATCTAAATTCCTTCCTATGGCCTCTGCGTCCTTTCTCAGCCCTCTGAATGTATCTCTGATCACTCCCTACCTCATGAGAACCTTCTCTCCATCCCTGAAACAGGCCACACTTTCCACCTGCTATCCTGCTGGACTGGTGGCTCCGAGAGGGCAGGAATGATGTCTGCTCAGTTGTCACCATGTCCCCAGGCCCTTGATAAATGACTGTGGTCTGTGGGTCTGTAGCGCTGATCCAGTTTTCCCTCTAACTGGTTGCTTAAAAAAATGTAGGCCCTTTTTCATCCCCATGTTCCTATCTTGAGTTCCTATCACACTAGATCGCCCTATCCTTCTATCTATTACACTGTATCATGATGTCAAATCCACGTTACTACCAGTGAAACGGGCATTATTATGCAGGCAGCAGAGGCTGTCTGCATCATTCAAAGCCCCCTCCAGAACGGCTCTCCCACGGAATGAGAAGGAAGTCAGACCTGTCCTCCACAGGAACCGGTTTCACAGGTGCATCTCGGTGAGTGTCTCCCTCTTTCAGATCCAGTCTAAAGCCCGTCTGATCTGGTCACACGGCCTCCACGACATAAACACCCACCCCAGCTCTCCTGAGGGCCATTCCTGCCCTAGGCTAACGTCGGCTTGCTATTTCAAAGGATGTCCATGTCTGGCTTTGTTTCACTGGTATTTAGAGACTTGGATGGTCAGGCATTTCTTCTTTGTGACTAACAAGTTCCTCCTGCTGTAACTTCAACCGTGCTTCCCCTTTGAAAAGGTCAGCTGGGAAGGGGGAGTTTCACACATTCCTTCTGATCCTCGCCACCACCCCTGC